TTGCTCATAACAAGCTCATTTTTTCAGGGTAGGTACAGGAATTTTTCTAGAATAACATACTAAAAGTCCTTATAAATCCTCCTTGAGCGTTTTCCGCAATCCAAGATGGCCTCCAAAATGGCTGGCATCCAAAATGGCTGCCATTTCCTGAATTTTGTATAACTTTGAACTAGAAAACCCAAATACAAAATTTAAATGTCTAAATATATGTTTTTAAGCATAAGGAACTCAATAAAATACATGTTGATAAATTTTGAACCACACAAGTAGCTTGCTATAATTATATAAACCACTTTAGCCCTTCCAAAAATCCAAAATGGCACCCAAAATTGCCACCATTTCCTGAATTTCTTATAGCTCTGCAACTAAATGACCCAAATACCAAATTTAAATGTCTAATCTTATGTTTTCAGCATAAGGAACTCAAACAAATACATGTACTTATTAACACATTCTGAAACACACAAGTAGCAGTTAACACACTAGAGCCCTTTCCAAAATCCAAAATGCTGCCCAAAATTGCCATTTCCAATTTTATTTCATTGTATTAAAGTAGATACGTTATGAATGTTATCAAATGTCTAGACTAGAATAACACCATTGAAATACATATCAGTACATGCACACCCACCCACCCACACATACGCGCATACATATGGCTGCTTCCATCATCCTCAAAGACTGACAGTGTACAACCGTGAAGAGTACTCAACATTAGGCCTAAAATAAAAACTTGTTGTATTGCCCTTTGGGTGCCAAAACATGGGTCGTTCGGTCGGAACAGTTTTTTTTTTTTTAAGTTTTTTTTTGTCGCCCTCTTTGGGCTGATATTTTTCAGTTTTTAATGTTTTTGTTTTTGTTTTTTTCTTTTTTGTCCCGCCCTCTTTTGGCTGATATTTCTCAGTTTTTAATGCTTTAATACATGTGTTTCAGCATCATCATTCCATTCATATCTTTTTTACCGCATAATAATCCATGGTTTGCAATGTTGGGAATGATTTGATTCTATGCATTTATATCCCATTTATCCCAACAAACAAAATACTTTTTTTTTTTATTCATTAATAATAGAAAATATCTAAAAAAAACAGTTAAAATTTTTTTTTAAATTAAATGCCGACTGTAGATTTTCAGATTTTTGGGTCAGTCACAAAGGGCAATACAACAAGTTTTTATTTTAGGCCCTAGATGGAACTGAAAATGTAAACACATTAGTGCCAAGGTCGCTAAAGCGTTATATACATAATGAAGTGGACAGCAAAGGCAAAAGTCACACAGTATCAAACAGGAAATGCACTTCAATAGCACATGCCATCATCTCTGCTAGTAGACCCAGGTCATTTATGTTGCAATATTGTTGGGAATAGCTGTGTATATACACCGAAAATATGGCTCACGTGAACAGATAGACATCTTGAGCAGCATGAGCTTTGTCCTTCATGGAGTGGTTTCATGAAAGTGGTCATGCAGAGTGACCAGTATGAGAGGATGAGAATTGAAACTCTGCCCTTCATCAATTTGGACCCCTCCAATCTGAATACCATCTACACGGCACTATGCTTTGCACAGTCACAATGTGAAAAGCATATGTGCAGTAACATTTGACCAGCCCTTGTACATCAAGGCAGCAGAGATTGTAGCTTCTTCTCAAGACTTAGAAAAAGTAATCGTTCGTCTTAGTGGGTTTTACCTCCTCATGTCATATCTCGACAGCATAGGCCACATCATGGGTGGAAGTGGGCTTGCAGAGCTTTGGGAGACAGTGTACGCCAAAGGGTCTGTTATACATATGCAATCTGGTCATGCATTTTCCAGTTCTCTTCATGCTCAAATTCTTACTGCAGCTGCCCTCATTGGTGTGTTGATGGGTAAACCTAGGACCACTTAGCAAATCTGTATGGTGCACTTCTCAGCCAGGACAAGAAGGCGACTGATGTAGCTGAGGTGAGGAGAAGTGTGTCAAACAGTTATTAAAGTCAGATCATTTCACAACTCCTTGACCAGGCAGCAGGACAAAGTAGGCCAGGGAAACTTTGGGTGCAGTACATCCGACAATTGAAGGGAACCAAAACCTTCATACCAAGTTACTTTTATTGTAAAGTTTAAGATACATGTACAGTATTTGAAAAATATCAGTGAAAATTTGAACAAAATCGGGCAAGGAATAAAGAACTTTTTGAAATGACTAGTCACTAGAGGGCGGTATTCAATTTGATGACATCATCTGTGGACAACTCTCCATGCCTTTTGTACAGCAAATTTCATGTTTTTCCTTCTTTCTTGTGATTGAGATAATCTACTCCCCTGAAAGTAAGATATGAAATGCAAAATGATAATTCTACTTGTTATGAAGTCGGATCAAGAACACGAATAAATACAAAGAAAATGAAAAAATTGTGAAATTTTATGTATTTTGTATAATAATAAATGGATTGATTGAGATATAGTTGCATGATATTACAAAAACGATGTCAATGAATAAATATTTGTTCTGTTGGTATCAATATAATTGTTCCATTTACAGTATGTGAGTTCACCACGATTTAAATATTTTGTTCAGCTATTGTTATTATTGTTACAGAGGCTGTTTATAACGACGAGAAACAATAAAGTACAGACTCTACTTCACTGACTCCGGATGCACTATTTTGTCGTCATGATCTCGAACCCTTTCAATGGTTTCAGAAGTGGGATTTTGACTGACAGCGAGGGACAATCCAAGACGATTTAGCAGTCCATACCAGACTCACCCTCTCCGTGGCATCGGTGATGGCATCGATGATAGCAACATCATATCAGAGTGACAGAACATGAACTTTAGACCGGGTTTGTGTTAAAACAGCCTCGGTCAGATACTTGATAGTTATCTTTATGCTCGTGTATGTTTTGATTTAGTTGATGCATCGATAATATTTTCTTGTTTAATCTTTATGCATGAAGTACTTGGAAACCTCAGTACAGGAAAATGGCTACCACTACGACTACCTTGACAACTACAACAACAACAGCAACTATCACGCCAACTGCGCCCACTACAAATTAACTATTAAAAAAATAGATGATCATTAGATGTTCTATTCTATATTTATAAAGGATATCATTTATTTTTTAGGTTGATGTCTTTACATTCAATTCTTAAATCAAACTTTATTTCCCAAGTAAAACTGACCTGTATGACAAACAAAGCTGTATTACCTTTATGTTGTCCTTGCCATCTACAAAGCTGCAGAAACGTCAGTGAAAACCGATAATACAGATATTTTGCAGTTACAAAAGGATTTTTTTTCATTTCTGAGGAAAATCCATGCAGGTTTACGTCATTAACTCAAATAAGCATAATTTCAGTAATACTGACCTTGTAAAATAATGACATTAAAGCTGCAAGAATCTTGATTTCCACTGGCATCAGCAAAGGTCCAGGTAACTTGGGTGCTACCAATGTTAAAGAAATCTGTTGTTGAATGACTTTGAGAAATAATTGTCGGGACTAGTCCACTGTTGTCTATTGCAGTAGGTGCAGTAAAGAAGACTTGAATCCTCGTTTGACTTAATCCAACCCCTTGCAGGACATCCGCAGGGCATGTGGCAACAGGTGGGGTTCTATCAACTGATAGATAACATTTGGGAAGAATAAATGTACGAGGAATCAGACTAATTTCAAATCTCATCACAAGATTTTCACATTTTTACCTTCATACATGTGTCCATAGGAAATGTCCTTCCCTACATTTTCTCGATAACGAGACCCACAATTTTCTGGAAGCTTAACATTTTAGTTGTATTATCCCCAGAGCTATCAAAGAGCTGCTAATTATACCTCAAATAAAGTTATGGCCTCAAACGATTCTAGAGTTATATAGCAATGACAAATAACACTAACATTCGGTGGGTAGCATATATATTATCAGTTATATTACGAACCAGGATTGTAAAATTATAGCAATATTGTATTAATTCATTTAGTTTAAAATGGCAGAAAATGTGTCTTGCAAAGAACTACATGAAAAACATATCACAATCATGCAACTGATTGAGCTATAAAAAACTGAATGGCTATGTATAACAGTATATAGCAACATAGGCTCTAAAATGTCTTCCTAAGTTTAAATGTAAGAAGAATCAAAATATGGAAATAATAATCTATGCTACAATTAATATAATGCAAGCATGCATTAAACAGATGTATGCCTCCAGAATTCAATCTCGATGAATAGATTGATGCATGAAAAAGTTTAAAAAAACACTAAACAACGCTAACCATGACAGCTCGAAGAATGAACATAGCAAAAAGTAAGAAGAAACTGTTCATCAAAAGACCCAAGCAAGACTTTTTTATATCCAAATACTATTTCATTAAACGCAGCTGATTATTAGAAATATTATTCCACATTTTGGTACACAGGTATAAGAAGTTGGACAAATTTTGTATGTCATCAAAAAATGTCTGTTTTTGTACCTGCTCACATGCTTGTGTTCTACATGAACTGTTTCATCAACTAGATATTCACTATTCACTATTGGTCTTATTATCCCCCAAACTAACCAACCTATTTAATTGAATGGAGCTATTGTGATGACACATACATTTTATACATAAACACTGTAATTTAATAGGTAGAATATCAGGAACCAGGCTCCAAATATGTAGTAATACAGTATTGATGTACTTTAAATTGACACCCAGAAGAGACTAAAATTGGCAATGTATGTATAGCAACAGTTACTCTTAATGTCTTCCCATTATAACCACATTCAACTTTTTCAGTTCTATAATCTATGAAAAAGTTCATATACATGTATGCAAGCTTGTAAAGAACACTTGCAACACTACAGGATTGAAACATAAAATGGTAGAGATATACAAGGTGATTCTTCTGCAAAAGAATCAAACTTTTAGATTTATTGGATCAAATTTACTATTTAAAAAAAAAATGATCATTAGATGTTTTATGCAGGTTTATGTCATTAACTCAAATAAGTATTATTTCAGTAATAGTGACCTTGTACAATAATGACATTGAAGCTGCAAGAATCTTGATTTCCATTGGCATCAGCAAAGGTCCAGGTAACTTGTGTGTTACCAAGGTCAAAGAAATCCGTTGTTGCATGAGATTGAGAAGTAATTGTCGGGACTTGTCCACTGTTGTCTATTGCAGTAGGTGCAGTAAAGAAGACTTGAATCCTCGTTTGACTTAATGAAACCTCCCGCAGGATATCCGCAGGGCATGTGGCAACAGGTGGCGTTCTATCAACTGATAGATAACATTTGGGAAGAATAAATGTACGAGGAGTCAGTCTAATTTCAAATCTCATCACAAGATTTTCACATTTTTACCTTCATACATGTGTCCATAGGAAATGTCCTTCCCTACATTTTCTCGATAACGAGACCCACAATTTTCTGGAAGCTTAACATTTTAGTTGTATTATCCCCAGAGCTATCAAAGAGCTGCTAATTATACCTCAAATGAAGTTATGACCTCAAACGATTTTAGAGTTATATACCAACAACAAATAACACTAACATTTGGTGGGTAGCATATATATTATCAGTTATATTAGGAACCAGGATTGTAAAATTATAGCAATATTGTATTAATTCATTTAGTTTAAAATGGCAGAAAATTTGTCTTGCAAAGAACTACATGAAAAAAAATATCACAATCATGCAACTGATTGAGCTATAAAAAATTGAATGGCTATATATAACAGTATATAGCAACATAGGCTCTAAAATGTCTTCCTAATGTTGTAAATTGGAATTTATGTTGTAAATTAAATAGGAATTATGTGGTGCAAAGATGCCCCCCCCCCTCCTTCTTCAGTCAATGGCAAATTGTTTCCCCTCTAGAGGGATTCCCATTGTATTGTTTCCCCTCTAGAGGGGTTGCGCAGGGCATGTGGCAACAGGTGACGTTCTATCAACTGAAAGATAAAATTTTAGAAGAATAAATAAATGAGGAGTCAACCAATTTCAAATCTTACTCAGTAAGCTACTGAAATGATTTTTGGCATCTGCCTTGCACAATCACACTGATTCATATGGTTTGCTTTGTACTAACCAACATGAGTTTACGGCAGGAAGAAGTTGTGTGACCCAATCGGTTAATGTATTACTCAACTGGAGTACTTCACTAGACAAGAGACATTGAACAAGAATAGATGCTGTATTCCTTGATATTTTAAAACGCCTTTGACAAAATGCCTCACCATGTCTTGCTCTCTAAACTAGCTGTATATTTCAATATCCAGGGTCAATTGTGGCACTGGATATGTTCATTTTTCTCTGGGCAGATTCAACGTTCTTGCCATTTACACAGCTGCAGAAAATGAAGGGGCTTTAAGGGGATAAAAAGGAGCGTTATTACCTACTTCATTTGGGTTTTTATTAATTATTAACAGTGGGCAGGAGTGTCTAAGGTTGGCGAAAAGAGGAAGGGCCTATAGTCATGTAGCCTGGATAGGTAGGGGCTAGCTGGAGGCGCAGGAAGGGGGGGGGGGGAGAGCCCCGCAAGATGGGTGTTAAGGATGAGTGTATATTATCTACTTAGTTTAAAGAGGTTTTCTTATGAAAAGTGGACAGGATTGTCTAAAGGTGATGAGAAGAGGGAAGGCATATAGATTTGATGCTTAAGGGCTAGTGGTAAGTGGCGAGTGGGGCGGGAGGGGACCAGGAAGGGGCGTTAAGGGGATACAAAGGAGTGTTTATTACCTACTTCATTTTAAGGGGTATTATTAATTATAAACAGTGGGCAGGATTGTCTTAAGCTATTATTATTTGTTTATCATTATTCATTATTCTTATTCTAGCTCTCTGTCATTGGACGACATTATTTTATAATTATTATTTTATTAATACAAAGACCCTATACTGTCATCATTACCTTTATTATCATTATTTCTCATTAAGTTTGTTAATAATATTGATTCTGTGGTCACTTTGCTTGCTTCTCGTTAGCCATTTCTCGTCCGCCTTGATATAGTTTGTATCGAGGCGTTTCACAAACATTTTTAATCCGTAAATTTGTTTTATTATGAAATGTGAATCGCGTCTACACGTACATGAACACGTGGTATGCGTGCGTACGCACGTTCTTCTGCAAGCAGAGGTGACTGTGTGTGCGAACGGGTGGAGAATAGTTTGTCACTTCTTTCATTTCTATGTCCAAATTTGTACTCAGTTTCAAGCTAAGGTAAATGCAATATTGAATGGAAATTACCGATATCTGCTTACTGATATTTTGGTTCTTCGCTTTCTGTTTCATCACTGGCTTTCAAGTCAATGTCGCATGTATCATCGACCTTGATTTTCTTCTTTTTTGAGGGGGTATCGTGCGCTGCCTGTACCGGGGACTTGGCCGAACAGGTTTGGCTGCAAGATGTGAATCGCTATTGCACGTTCCGTAACAGCAATGCTTTCCCATTATTCTTGCCTAAAACTTAGTGATTTTAAAGATCAAATGTATATATGATGAACAAAATCACATCTCAAAGATATTTATTATTCAAGTTTGAAATTGCCTCCTTTTTGTTCTCTCTCTCTCAAACTAGCGAAAGCAAACAATACAATCACAGCTAGCGAACACAGTCATGTATTGTATGCACAAAAAGTGCAGGCTGCTATGCACCGCAAGTTCTTTGTTTGATCGATCCTCCGATTACGTAATGCGATTTAAAGGTCTGTGAATACATTACGAAACTGGCCTATTGGTAGGATTGTCGTCCTATGGTGACATCAACAGGTTTGAAGCCCATACCTCTTCTGGTTCTTGAGATACGGTGACAACGAGGCTAATGTCTATAACCTTTGACTTTGATCGACTTAATCTCAATTCTAATCAGACCGTCTAAATTCCTGTGGTGAAACATACTACATGTATCACCAAATTCAAAGTTCATACCTTTAAAGGGTAATCCAACCCTTGTAATTCATTTGCATGAAAGCAGAAAAATAAGAGAAACATAATGGCGACAGTTTGAAATAAATCTGACCAATAATAAGAGAGTTTCTATGAATGATTGAAATATGAAAATCACTAAAGCTATGCAAAATCTCAAATTGGCAATTTTGTCAGTGGATCACTCTTCCGTTTTGTTGTGTACAAAAATATCTTAAATGTAAGTTGTTCACCCTCGGGGCAGTACTCCAAATGTGTTATGGATAGTGTTTAATTTAGGTCCTTTAAAGAGAAAAGACCCTCCCGAGCCATACATTTTTAACCTAGATGGATGTTCAACTGCACGCAGTCGAAATGGATGCCTCCACTATAGAGCGATTTTACAAATCAAAACAGGAGCAATTTTAAACATTCAAGTTCGATTGTAATCCATTAACAGGTTCACAGAATATCGTGATTACAAGCGATTTTTCATATTATATGTATGACCCTTTGAAGTTTGAAAGTAACCCATCCGTCGGTATTGACAATGTGTTCACAAGCTATTTTTGCATACATAATGATCCCCATGACCTTTGACTTCACGACCTCAAAATCTAATCAGTTCATTGGCTCTCCAAGATACATATATGGCCCAAGTTTCGCGGTAATCCATCAATCGGTTCTTCAGATAACGTGTTCACAAGCTATTTTTTGCATACATAATAAGCCCTATGACCTTTAAAGGATGGACGGACAACCAGAAAACATAATGCCTCTGGTTACTTTGTAGCGGAGGCATAAAAACTATATATTTCAGTAATTTTGTGTGTTGGAACAAATGGGACAGTTGTCCGGCACTACATCACAGTGACATTACCGATTCAGCCAATTTGAAGTTCCGTAATTAACGTTGTATAAACCGCCCTCGTGTATTAACCGCACCCCTCTTTTTTGCCCTATAAAAAAAAAAGGTTTGTGTTAAAAAAACCCACGCGGGAAGGCCTTTCATTTAACGGCGAGGTGCAGCTGAATGTGTAAGATCATTAATGTAAATTAAAAAACAGTAGAGGACCTAGGATAGAACCTTGTGTAACGAGAAAGCAGAACAGATGGACATACGGAAGGACGGACAACCCAAAGATAGCATGCCTCTGGCACCACCTCAGGTGGGCGGAGGCATACAAACCTTTCCTTCCTTTTCTTCCTAAATAAAAAACAACAACTTAGTTTTAAAATTGCTATGCTGGGTGTGCTGGGATAATTACCATTCACCTCTCTCATCCTAAGAAATCTGGATATTGGACAGGTATGGCTGAATGAGTACAAAGAGCATGAAAAGAAGACCCTTTGTGGCACATGGAATACCTTATGTATGTTTTACAAAAGATGCATAAGAAATCGAAGAGACTAGATGACGCACGCAGTTGAAAATGATGCCTCTGCCATAGAGCGATTTTCCAACCCAAATTGTATTTTTACAACTCAAGTTTGATTGTAATCCATTACATGTTCTCAGAATATCATGATAACAAGCCATTTCTATCTTTGATCTTATGACCCAAAATCTAATCAGGTCATTGGACCTGGGTTTAATAGTGATCCATCCGTATGCTGGGTATGCTTGGATAATTACCATTCACCTCTCTCATCCTAAGAAATCTGGATATTGGACATATTGATGTTGGTATTAAAATATTTTATTTCTTTGAACAAATTATCTAGCAGCTCAAAGATAATTATCTGCACAGCCATCAACATCAGAAGACTAAAATGGGGGGGGGGGGCATATTAAGGAAGAGACTAAATAAGATATTGTCACCAGGGTCCTGAAGGCAAAATAATATAAAAACAATATACTTACATATTGTCGTCCAAGTAACTTCAAAGCCCTGTAGCTCAATATTTTTGTCAGTTTTCCAGGTCATGAATGCAGAATCCGTGTTGAACAGCGTTAGAGGTTGTGGCACAATATTATTCTCGTAAAAATATATCTGTTTCGATGGCACATTTTCCCCGTTCAAATCCAGTAGATCATCATAAGATAGACCTGCTCCAACATAAAGTTCATCGTGGTTTACTTCTACTTCAAACGGACTACTGAAAACGAAGGTGATTTCAGTAGCTCCAGGAATGAACAAGAGGTAGACCCTTATATCCCGGAAATTATATGTACCTGGGTAGTTTGGTGAAGAGTAACTACCGCTTTGACACTGTGTTCCATAGCAAATGTCTAAAACCCTGGTAACTGGTTATGCAAACGAAAAGAAAGAAAAAACATAAAAACAACAACATATCTAGTTTCAGATTCAAAAGTATGTTATATGTATGTAGTAGTAGTAGTAGTAGTAGACTTTATTGGATAACTTGTTTAGCACAGGGCTAATCTGCCACAAGGTCCATTGCACATAAATAGAAAGCAAGTTAAATATACAACAGTTTAACAAATACAATATGTTTTGATAAATAACCGTTCTGTCATAAATAAGAAAGAAACACTGGTTAAGTTTTTTGTCATATATATATATATATATATATATACACACACACTCACACAAACACAGTCATTTGCAAAAGTTAAAGGCCACCTAGAATTGTGATGATAATTCTGTCACTGAGCTTGCATAATATTATCTCATTTAACAGTTACATACTTGGTATTTTACAGTGGACCTAATATGATCATGCTGGTGCTATGATTCCATTTGACTATTTGAGGGGGGCATATAGGCAGGTGTTTTATGACTTAGGAACATGGTTTTAAGAAATGTCTAGGTTCAAAGGGCCCTCAAAGTGACCTTCAATCAAGATGGCCACACTGATATTTTAAATATCAAAACAGCAAGGTAGGGCATAGCAAGTTACAAAATTTGAAAGAGAAATATGTGGTTGTTTATGTGGGGACGAATCCTTCAAATTCTCATTGAGATATCAATGGAGCTCAATGAGAATTTAAGCACCATCTTTTGCTGTTTGTCTGAGCACATAATAGTTATCTAATCATTAGTTTAAGTTCAGATTTTGTTCAAGTTAATGCCCTTGTTGTGGGTGGTCTAATATATATATATATATATATATATATATATATATATATATATATATAATGTAATAAAAACTAAATAATGAGTTGGAAACTAATTGTGAAATGAATCTTTCATCCACACATGAATATATTCTTGGAGGTCATCAAGCCATGAAAGTTAATTACAAAGATGAGAAATTACAAAATAACTTACAGACATTCTGAGAGCAATCATAACCCACTTGCAAATTTGTACATACACAAGCGTATGTTGACACTGCAGATCCTGGTCTGTCGTAGCATATCTCACCATTGGAACACTGGTTCAGCGCACACCATTCTGCAGAAACGGGCAAGATTGAAGAAAAAAAGTGATTCAGCAGGAGAGTTTTGAATTAATTTACATGAAGTACAGGGCACAGGAAAGTGGGAAACCAGATACAGAATTCTCAATGTAAAGGGGTACTGCAGGCGCGGCAAAAGTGGGGGGGGGGGGGGGGGGAGATATTCACATTTTTCAGAATCCTACTTCTGTATCACTCTAGACTGATGAACAGAAATTAGATTCACACTCATTGTCACACTTTTCTAAAGCATAATTACATCTCTAAAATAAATATCTGACAAAGCAAGAAATTGTTCTTAGGTTATGTGGGGGAGGGGTGGTGGTAGAGGGGAAGGGGTAGTGGTGGGGGAGGAAGGAAGTTAGCATATATAACATTTGAACACATTAAGATGTGTACTATTCACAGCTGATGTAGTTTGGTCAGGGAAAACACACCCGCTGGATAGGACATGTATCATAACACAATGAAGAGCACACAGAAGCACAGGGTAGTACATGGAAGAGCACTGAATCTGCCAGATCATTTTTGCAATCCTTTCACAACAATAAACATCTTTTCATTGGAGAAAAGATGACCCAACTAATCTGGGCATTTACTAAACTTTGAACTTTGGAACAGATTACCTTTAAATGTAAAAAACTGTCAAACCGTTAACCTATTCAAAAATAGTCTCAAGACACATTTATTCAATTTCAATTCAATTCAATTTCAATTTATTTGCTCATAAAAATCCAGAAAACACGTGCAAACATTCATAAATCAACATGATACAAAGGATAAAATTCACAAGAAAAATTAATAACAAAGTATACATTTGGATTAAGTATGAGAGGGACAGCAAGAAAGGAACAAGCCTTGTGATTAGCTGACCCTGTAACATAATACATTAAGGACGCTACAAAAAATAACAAATCACTTACAACAACATAAAGGGGGGGGGGGGTATACCTATACATTTAAACAAACAAACTTGGTGAATACCTGTCTAAAATAAAGTGCCTAGATTTTGACTTAAAAACATTTAACGAAACTGCTTGTTTAATATCTGAAGAAAGAGAGTTCCAGATTTGGGGTCCTTTAAATAATATTGAATTTTTAAAAGATGAGAGCCTCGGTTTGGGTAAATGAAAATCATTAGCATTTCTTGTATTGTATCCATGATATTCATTATTGAACTGAAAGAATGTTTTAATATAGTCTGGCAAGAGGTGATTGTTACATAAGTACATAAATATAAGTACCTGAAATACATATATATCATGAAATTTCAAAACACCTGATTCAATAAATAAAGGGTTGGTATGGGCAAGGTAAGGTGCATGAGACATATTTCGTATTGCACGTTTTTGTAAAATAAACAATCTATCAATGTGATTATTACTTGCATTACCCCAGACAAGAATACCATAATTAAGATACGGATATACAATTGCATAATAAATCATTTTTAAAATCTCCTTTGGAAATGATCTTAAACAATACATTATTCCTATATTTTTTGCCAGCTTATTGCACAGACTATCAATGTGATTTTTCCATGTAAGGTTATGATCTATTGTAATGCCTAAAAATTTTACTGACGTTACACACTTAATATCTGTATTGCACAATCTAATTGAAAGATAATCTGGTATCAATAAATTACTAAAAATAATATAACTGGTTTTTGCTACATTGATTATCATTTTATTTGCGTAAAACCACTCAGATATTAAAGATAAACTTTAGTACTGGTAATGCGATTGCATTGTGAAAGAAAAGGTGTGGAAAGGATCAGAAACAGTTGATCATGTAGCATGTAAGTATTGGTGTGCACTGCAAGGTTCTGGAGTCATCAAAATCATAATAAATTTGACCGAGTCTTGGTAAAGTAACAAGCACATACACAGAAAGCTATGTATGGGACAACACGCATGGTGTCGGGGTTGGTACTACCTTGATTCCTTGTCTTTCTATGCTCATTACTCAGCCAGTATACATTTTCTTCCAAAATTGTTTGGCACATGTCATTTATTTGTAATCTTGAACATTCAGTGTAAGTTTCGTTTGATTCTGTGAGAAATAATTTTCTTTTTTTTACCAGTACTCAACCTTCTCTTTAATTCAAGTTCAGAATTGAATAGATTATGTAAGTCCTGACAGTTAGGATGGGATAAAAACAGACTGGTGTCGTCAGCAAACATAATACAATGTAATAATTTAGATACTTTACTAAGGTCATTTATAAATAAAAGAAACAACAGTGGTCCTAAGATAGAACCCTGTGGTACCCCACATGAGATAGTCCCTTGCTGTGATTTGCATTTAGAAATTTCAACATATTGTTTTCTATTTGATAAATAACTTTCAAATAATTTAAGTACAATACCTCTTATGCCATATAATTCAAGTTTGTGTAATAAAATAGCGTGATCTACTGTATCAAAAGCCTTCTTCAAATCTAAAAACATTGCAATCATATATTTCTTGTTATCAAGAGCATTAACAACAGTGTGAACAAAATCAATAAGAGCCGATGACGTCGAATGTCCAGGACGGAAACCATATTGGTTCAAAGATAATATATTGTACTTGCTTATAAAATCAAATAATCTATTGTACATACATTTTTCTAAAATTTTAGAGAAAACTGGCAAGACTGATATGGGTCTGTAATTTGCAACATTTTCACTTGAACCATTTTTATATACAGGAACCACACGAGCAATCTTTAATTCATCAGGAAATATACCTAAATCTAAGCATTGATTGAATATTGCACAGATGGGTTGACATAAAATATGTATAGATTTCTTTATAACCTTGATACTTATATCATCGTACCCAGGACTGCAATCTCTCTTTATATTAGACACAATATCAATGATCTCGAAACATGTGATTGGTTTAAAATAACACGTATTAGAATTCCTATCCAAATAACGACAAGGATTCAAATTTAAATTATTGCCCTGATCAACAGGATATTTCAATTCAGATACAATATTAATAAAATATTCATTAAATACATTACAAATTTTGGAGGTATCATGTAACACCTGATCATTAGATATCAAAAAATTAATACTGCACTTTTTATTTACACGACCCATTGCACAATTAACTATGTTCCAAGTCTTTTTCATATTCCCTTTGGCTGTTGCAAAATTTTCCATGAAATAGTGTTTTTTAGCTTGTTTAATCATATTATTGACTTTATTCCGACATTTTCTGTACACTTCTTTTCGATACGGTGTTGGGTTTCTCAGATAAAGTCGATATGAACGACATTTTTTCTTTGACAACTTACGAATATCAGGATTGATCCATGGTTTATTTTTTTGGGGTGTTTTTTTCAAACATTCTAAAGGAAAACACAGATTATATACATTTAAAAACCTCTCTAAAAATTGCACATAATTTACATTTGGATTGTTATTATGGCAAGACCATTGGACCATCTGAAGGGATCTTAAAAAACAATTTATACTTTTATCATTGATTATTCTTAAAGGCTTATTCAAATTTTGCTGAGATTGAATATCATTCCAGCTAATACAATATACAGGTAAATGATCGCTGATGTCTGTTATAAATATTCCTGAT